CACACAGGGTTAAGATCCACTGCAAGTGTTGTGGTGAAGCCTGGGGGGAACGCATCGCATATTCTTCTCAGTGCACATTAACTGTACTCCAAGTGACCTCTTTGTCTCAAATAAGTCTCAGTAGTTTTTTTAAAAGTTGAAATCACAGAAAGAATCATCTCTCAACACAATGGAATGGAACTAGATAGTAATAACAGCAAGAAAATTTAAAACACAAATATGTGAAAATTAAACAATGCACTACTAAACAACCAAAAGGGCAATGAAAAAATAAGAACATATGGAACAATGTCAAAAGAAAATAAAAGCACAGTCAACCAAAATGGGTAAGATGAAGCAAAAATACCTAAAGCAGTCTAAGGACTAAACAAGTTCACATCAAAATCCCAATAATACTCTTTGATGAAATGGAAAAATCATCCTCAGATTGAGAAGAAATTACAAGAGTCCCATACAGCCAAAACAATCCTAAAAAAAGAACAAAGCAGGAGGATTCATACTTCTCAATTTCAAAACAAACTGTATAAATCAAAGGAGACTGGTGCTCACACAATGACAGATAAAGTTGTGGTTGGTATTGTAGTTACATGCTATTGAGTGGATGACAAAACACAGGAATCCTGTGGACAGCAGATCTGAACTCTGTCCTATCTTGCATCACCTTTGTCATCTCTGATACACTTGCTGCGGTCACTGTATCAATCCATCTCACTGAGAGTCTTCCTCTTTCACGGACCATCTGCCTTTCCAAGCATGACGTCTTAAATCAGCTACACCTTAGTCTTTAAAATGGTATCATTGTTCCCAAATATCTTGTAGTCATTGACAGTAGATTTTCCCAATGTATCATGTCTTTTATTTCTTGGCTACTAGTACCAAGAGTGTTGTTGACTTTGGATCCAAACAAGATGAAAAGATGAAATCATTGACAAAGTCAGTATTTTCTCTGTATATTATGATGTTGCCTATTGGCCCAGAGGCGAGAATTTTTGTCTTTTTGAGGCTGAGATGTAATCCATATTGAAGGACAGATAAAGAGACCAGTGGAATTGAATTTAGAGTAAGAAATAAACCCAAACATCTACGGTCAAATGACTGTCAACAAACCAGCTAAGTTCATTCAATGAGTCAAGAAAATTCTCTTCACTGTAGGAACAACTGTATTCTCACATTAAAAAAAAAAAAAAGAGTGAATTTGAACTTATACCTCAAACTATATATAAAAAATGAACTCTAAAGGGGCCAAAGGCCTAAATTTGAGAACCATAAAACTTATAGAAGTAAACTTAGGGGTAATGCTTCACAATCCAGTTTTTCACAAAGGTGCTAAGATATGTCACTAAAAACATAAGCAAATAAAAATTTAAAACTTTTGTATATACCAAGTCTATCATATAAATAAAGAGACAACCTACACAGGAGAAATTATTTAGAAACCACACATAGGGTAAGGGCTTAATAGTTACAACTATATGAAGAGTTCCCACAACTTAGCAACAAAAAGACAAACGCTCAAATTAATGCAGCTTAGGGAGTTCTGGTGGTGTCCACACGCAGTTGTGCTGCTAATTCAAAAGTGGTGCTTCTCACAAGGTTCAAATCTACCAGCTGCCCTGAAGGAGAAAGATGGGCAATCTCCTCCCTCATAATTCACAGTCAAAGGGCCATTTCTCCAAAGAGGAGATGCAAATGGACTATATGCATGGGAAAGACATCCAAAAATCAACCAAGTACACTGCCATCCAATCAGTTCCAGGTCGCAGCCATCACAGGGCAGAGCAGAACTGCCCCAGGAGGTCTCCAGTTGTACGGAAGCAGAATGATGCATCGTGCTCCCACAGGGTACCTCCTGACTTTGAACCAATGGCATGTGATTAGCGGCTGAGCACTTTAAACACCACATCACCAAGGTTCTCACTGGTCACCAGACCAAAAAAGTCATTGCCTTCAAGTTGACTTGCTACAGGAAGAGATTGTTCATCTTTTTCCCATTGGTAGATGTCAACCACCAACCCCAACGAATAAACAAGTATGTTCTGGAAAAAGTGCAACCAGAGTACCCTTGGAGGCAAAGATGAAAAAGCTTCATCTCTCATAAATCAGGCTTGTTCCTAGAAGAGGCGATTCCTTGGAGAAGGTCGTGATGTTTGGAAAGGCAGAGAGTCAGTGAAGGTTTGACACAGTAACTTCCACACTGTGCTCTAGTGTGTCAGGCAGTGTGAGGATGGCACAGGATAGGACAGGGCTCTATCTGTTGTTCCTAGCATCGCTGTGGGTTGTACTTAACTCAGTAGTGCCTAACAACAGGCCTGCTTTGGTTAATGACCCACCTGTTACACTCTACAACACCAGGGAAGTAAATCAAAGCCATGATGTGATACCACTTTAGTGCCACTGATTGCTATCATAAGAAAAACAGGAAGTCCTGATGAAGACACGTGAAAATGATAAACCTTCATCCACTGCTGATGGGACTGTACGTAAATGGTGGAGCCATTTGAAAAACAAGTTAATAGTTCCTCAAACAGGTAGAACAAATTACCATATGACCTAGCAATTTCACCATTTGGTATATACCCAGCACAAACAAATATTTCATCACGATGCAGAACTGATTTCCAGCTGACCTTCCTTTGGTCTATGAGGCTATAAAGAGCTCTCCTCTTTTTTCTGAAGAGTTGCTAATGGATTTGAATTGCCAGACAGGCTCTGTGTTTGGTCATCAGCACAACTCCCTACAGATTAAGTTGAATATTTGTAAGAAGATGACAACTGCAAAACCAACCTAAATGTTCATTAATAGAAGATGGAAAAACAAAATATGACCTATACATACCACAAAATCTGAGTTTTGGAATATCACTTTGCCTAAAACACTTGGGTTTGCCCTGAAAGCGCTGACCAGTTATACCCTGAGGCAACTCTGGGGTAGAGGCTGACAGACCAGAGGGGCCCACATCCAGACAACCATCTCAGGGCAGCCTCCCACAGGACAGGGTGGACCTGGGGGCTCCTCAGGAAAAGGTCCTGACATGGATTCTCCATCAGCTTCCAGGCTGATGAAAGACATGTTCCCAGGAGTGGGACTCCGTGGGATCCCTTTCAGGACCCATCCTACTTGTCACCTCTTCACTTACAGCCTTATTGCTGTGATAAAACTGTATTAGTTGGAGTCTAGGCATTTCCCATGGTTTTTTTCTGTGAGCCATTCCAGATAATTTTCAAATGAGCTAGCTGGTGGGATGTGAGAAGAGGCCTGGACTCCTAAACTTGCTTGGGAACAGGAAGTTCCCAGATCTATGTGACAGTGAGAGAACTGTGCCCCTTAATCTCTGAACTCCAACTAAAGATAGGCTGATTTCTGTCCTGAAAGACAATGGCTGCAAAAGATTGGCAAACATGAAAACTCAGCAATCTGTGAGCTCATGGAAACATTCAAAAACCAAAACAACAATCCCAACTCACTCATCACCTCTGTTGGCTGTCAAGGCACCAACTCGTGTCCTGGACAACAAGGAAGTGAGTCTAGATTACCCCTTCTGTACAGACAATATTTTAGGGGAACAAAAGTGTTGATGAAGGAAAGGATTCCCTATAAAAGAACTACCACTACTGAGTCCAGAGGCATAGCAGATCCTCTCCATTCTGCAATCAACCCCCCATGGGAGCAGTAACACGTGGACCCACCTGTGTCCAGGAATCACACAAGAATAAACTCTATGCTCACCTGCAACACAACAGGTGAAGCAGATGCCACCTCAAAAGGGAAGTCACCTGCTTAGAGAACGAAACCTAATTCCACATAAGCTTCTAGATCTACTGCAAATTTGTAGGAAACAGAAGAAATCCAAGACATGGGACAGGAGGGAATTAAAAATACATTATATTACATTCAAAATGTCAATAAATGAATGATATAAAAGGGGTGGGGAGCCCATTCATGCAATGGAATATTATTCAACCATAAAAAGAAATTAAGCATTCATTTCTGGTAGGGGAGAGATGAACTTTGAAAATATTAAGCTATGTAGAAGATGCTAGATACAAATGGAGAAATGCATGATTCCATTTATATGAAATAACCTGTTAGACAAATCCAAAAAAACAAATCAAAAAACAATGACTAGTGGTTGCCTGGGGCTGAGGGCTGCTGGAGCAGAACCCAACTCCTGCTGTGCAGACTGTTCTGGGTGTGATCCTACCCACTCCAGATGTGCCCAGATGTTCCAAGGCTGCAAATCTTAAAGGGAGCAGACTGCCTCATCTGTATCCCAAGGAAAGGCTGGTGGATTTGAACCACCAACCTTTAGGTGAGCAGCTAAGTGTTTGTTTGTTTTTTTTTTTCAGCTAAGTGTTTTAAGCACTGTGCCACAAGGCTGTAGGAGATGGATACAGGTGATGAAAACGACACAAAATCAATTGTGGAGATTGTTGCACACTTTGTGAATACATTAAATGATACTGACTTACACTTTAAATGGGTTGGTTAATTGTCAGGTGAATTGTTTTGATAAGGTTACTGAACAAAAGGGTAGTCTTTTGTAAAGAAACATGTGAACCACTTATAACATGTTGGCACTGGTTTGTTGTAAGTAGAATCTAGACAGAGTATTTTCTAGGCATGAACTGGCTGTCAGATGGTAGTGGGGGTGGGGGAATGATGGTCCTGCGGTTGTTTTCAAAATAGAGAAATGGGAAAAGCAATCTTGGCAAAACCCTGACTGGGGATACTGACCAGTGGTGAGGACCACTGACATTCCCACTACTCTCCCTTTCACTTTCCCGTATTTGCTGCTCTCACAGCAATTACAAGAGGAGAGCCATAGCCCCCCCATCTCCCAATCCTCACCCCCGGACATGGAAATCACATCACAAGGCAAAGCTCCAAGCGCTCCCTACAGAAGATGGCCTTGGACCAGGTACACTCCACTGACCTGCCTGGACCATGAGAAACTTTGCAGGATTTCTGACACCCAGACAGCCACCTGCTCTCCACTCACCAGATGTCGGATTCCTGGGGCACAGAATCTCCTGATGGTCCTCAGGACAAGGCTCCTCCCCCCTCTCTATTCGGGCAAGGATGTCAGGCTTGGAGATGGCATAGTCTGTGTACAGAATAGGGCAGTGAGGTCAGAACCAGACACCAGCCACATGCTGCCGAGAAGTCCTGAGTAAGAGAAGTCCAATCACAGCACAGATCACTGAGGCTATGCTGCAGATAAACCCGTCCACCCTCCAGCCTCACCCAGGGAGACCAGCGTCTCGTAGTTGCCCCTCATCACGTGCTTGTACAGCTCCTTCTGCCACTCGTCCAACTTCCCCCACTCCTGCTCAGAAAAATACACGGCCACGTCATCGAAGGTCACGGGCACCTGGAACACAAGTGCCACATGCGCTCGCACACACACTCCCAGCTCCACACTCCCCCACCCCAGGGTGCCCATGCTGACCTTGGGCACCTCGCCCTTGCTGCCCGGGGGCAGCCGCAGGATCCAGAAGTTCCTGTTGCGGAGCAGGTTCTCCATGTTCTCCAGCCGCCGCTGCAGCAGCCCGTACTCCTGCAGCAGCGTCCCCAGCACGGCCCACTTGCCCTCCAGCTGGTTGCCGAACTCCACGGCCGTCTTCTCACAGTCGGCCACCTTCTTCTCGGCCGTTCCCATGCGCCCCTCTTGGGCCAGCAAACGGGCCAGGCAGGAGTCCACTTTCGTCTCCATGGCCTGGACAGCGGCCACCACAGTCCAGAGTGTTATCTCAGTGGAGTATAGGTAGGAGTTTTCGGCAGGTGTCGACACGCTCTGGTTTCCTGTCTGCTTGTCCCTCACTGATGCCTGTTCACAAGGGGGTAGCAGTGTGATGGCTCCCCTCCAAACAAAAGGGCCCCCTCCAAGAAACACCCCCCCCCCCAGGCATCTGGATCCTCTGACACAGTCAGGTAGAGCACAGGTGAGTCAAGCCACCTGGAGGGGAAATACCAGCCAAGCTAAGGAAGAGGTTGTTCTGTACACTGGGGACCATGGGGCACAGCACAGATGCACCATGCAAACCTGCCCTCACCAACTGGCTGGTTTTGCAGAATCTGTTTTCAGTTCTTTCACCTTCACTCCTTCACCCAGAACACAACACTCATAGCAATGGAGTCCACACAAGGAGGAGACACTGGTGGTCTCATGGTAGAAATCTTGCCCACCTAAGCTGGATACCCAGGTTTGATCCTGGCCAATGCCCATCATGCACAGTCATGATGTACTCATCAGCAGATACTGATGCTGCTAAGATGTTGGGACTTTCAGACCCAGATGGATGAGAAAGGAAAAATGAAGATCAACTCCTGGAACCACTCCTAGACCCTGTGTATCACAGGTGACAGATCCCACCACAGGACCAGGCAGCTTGCACTCCCCTGTCCCTGGACACCATAAGCAGAGCCCAGCACACAACAACGTGTGTGTGTGGGTGGTGTTTAGTGAGCTGATCCTCCCCAGAATTGAAATACAGAACACATTAAACCTCAGTAACTGAGGCCCTGGCTGGTGAAGCCGCAGTGAGGTGGAGGCTGGCACTGAGGGCTGGTGCTTAGGTACACGTTAGGGAACAGTTCCAACAGCCTTTCCCCTATACGTCTTTCACCACAGGGTCCCTGAAGCCTTTCATGTTGTTATCAGGTGCAGTCAAGGGGGCTACCACTCAGAGAGACCCTGTGGACAGGTCAAAACCATGCCCTACCATGCCTCATCAAGGTCTCTGATCCACTCCAGCCCATCGCTGCAGTCACAGTGCCAATCCCTCTTGCTGAAGGTCTTCCTCTCTTTTTCTGACCCTCCACCTTCCCAGCATGGATGTCTTTTACCAGGGATTGGCCCTTCTGATGGCACCTTCAAACTGTGTGTGAAACCAAGTTTCACCATCCTCACCTCTGGCTGTATTTCTTCTAAGGTAGAACTGTTCTTTTTTTAGGCAGCCCATGGTATGTTCAATACTCATCATCAACACAGTTCAAATGCCAGTGTCTTAGAACAGACACAATCCGTTTCACTTTGACCCTCTGCCTTCGATCCACCTGGCCCCAGGGTATCCTGGCACTTCCTAAGCGGTGTAGACCTGGTAAAGGACAGACAACAAGCAGGGCCTGGAGCCAAGGGCGAGTCTGTCCTATCTGGGGAATTTCCTGGGATCTAGGGCCAAAAAGCGACTGTGTGTCCTTCAGGAAGGGGCGGACCTACCATGGCCAGACCCACCCAGTGCTCCCAGCACCACGCTACCCCATGCACAGGCTAAAGGTTCTCTAAAGAGCTTCCAGGATAGGATATCAGATTTCCAAAAACTTCCTAGAGATGTAGTCATCCCAGTAAAACCATGCCATCTGATCGGTTCCGACTCAGGGAAGCAGCTGTGGAGCTCACAGAGGAGACCGTCCATCTTCCTTGGGGGTGACAGTGCACTTGACCCGGTTCTGGGCCGGCTCTGCCTGAGCCCTGAGGATGGCAGGCCTGCACCCCTGCAAGCTCTCTCACTGCGGGCACCCACCCCTAGTCTAGATCTGCTGATGTGGTCACTCATCCCGGATCCCACCTGTGACCGAAGTCCTCCCCCGTGCGGCGAAGGCCTTTAACTAGGGTTCGGCCCAGCGCCCCTTCGTCCGCCCACACAGGCCCTCGAGGCCAGGCAGCCCTCGGCCTCCGGCTCAGGCGGGGTGCGGGGCGGCTCGGGCCGAGCGGACTGGCCGTGGGGGCAGCCGGCCGGGGGACAAGCGGCGGGGGGGACAGTCGCACGGACGGCCGGGGAGCAGCGGGCAGGCGGGTGGAGCCGGGCCGCGCAGTCGTGAGGGCTGGCCGGCTGGCGGATGAAGGCGCGCCGGGAGAGCGGTGAAGATGGGCCGCAGGCCGGACAGCCGTGCGGACCGGCCG